AACAGAATGACACCGAAAGAAATCACTTCGGACTTCCTTTGAATCGTACAATGAAGTAAAAAACATTCATTTAAAAGTGGAAATAAAGTTGAGATTTTTAATAATGCTGTTATGGGCTTAGCATAGTGTTAGGCCTGATTCGATTTAGAGCTAACTGCCTGAATGCAAACCCTATCCGACGTTTGAATGGTACAAACAAAACTGAGGCTGAGTACACATGGTATTAAAGAATTTTGAGTTTTTTAGTGATTGTTTTCTTTATATTATAATATGTAAAATTAACAAGCCTGATTGTAATATAGTATTCTTGTCGTTCATTATAATTCCAATATCAACACAATTTTTTTAATTGCACTGACTTACAATAGCACTGTTACGAGAATTTAAATGGTATTTGTGTTTTTATTTCAAGTATGAGATACATACAAATAATTGAGTTCATATGAGTAATATTTTTCTTGTTTGATGTTAAACGTTGGGTCATTAACTTGTATATTATCACCTAACAATAAGACGGACAGAGGAGTTTTTCGTGAAATTTATGATACTTATTATTAGGCCCAACTATAATGGGAAATATAATTATATTTAGCGATCGTTGAACTAAACCTTTATCGCGGAAGTTCTCATCAAATAATTAATGATTTTTGACAAAACTTTACACAAAAAAATAAACTTTAAACGAGTTGTAAATGTAAAATAATACAAATTATATCATTTTTAATATACCGAAAAGATTAATTATATTTTTTATTTAATATAGACAAATTGAAATTCATAACTATACTGTTGTACTGTTCTACTTCGTCTAGAAACCATCATCTCACGATGGAAGCGTTGGGCCTTAAATGCTAGAGGACCAGAGCCCATTTAAGACCTAAATTACAAATGATCAAACTGTAATTTTTCAAGTTAACTACCATGTACATAATATTATTACATTTTACACTGTTGTTACATATATTTTATCAGTCTATTGAGGTACGTATACATATCATAGTGTTTTCGTCCAAAATCGACACTGGCTTTTAGAGACCCAAAGTACAGATATTATAGTAGTAAACATTTAATTAATTTTTTTAGATACGTCCAAAAGCTCAGCACGATAAAATGATACGCTTAGTAATGTATTTTATTATTATGTGGTTTCCTTATAACAATATGTACATATTATGTACGTATGAGTACTTATAGTATAAAATTGTTATTCACGTAAAACGTGCTCGCATTGTGTTTGCTTTACGCGTCCTGGCTCGGCTGTCCGGGCTTAGTCTAATCCGACGTTATTATTGTCATTATTGTTATTACCACGGCAGAGTGTATTGATCGAGGCTAATAATCTGCATAAGAAAACGGCGTTGACGTAGCCCGACGCCGGTCCGTTCACCTTGCCTGCACGAGCTTACCGTAGGAAATTGCCCATCATCTTGTGTATAATAATATTATAATGTGTGTTTGTTGTATTTACACTGTGCTGGCACTTCACGCGCGTACGACTTAAATAATATATCGTTATAATAACGTAATGCCGTCGCGGTAATTTCCAGACCAACGGAAAGCCAAATTATTATTATTTGTATTAGTTGTATTATGTTCTGTTCGCTGGAAATTTGTCAATGTTCTTCTGTTTGTTAGAGGTACACGTGACCACAGCGGTTGTATAGCGGTTTAATTCGCGTTTGTTAAACGCCTGCGATTCGCGTGCACAAAAAAAAACTAATATACATTGTAATAATAATAATCACACCGGGTGCGTGTCACGTTTCCAACAACCTCGTTGTGTGTTCTTTGGTCGGGTCCAAAACTCCGGGCACACAATGTGGCGCACGCCAAAATATAGGATTCGATTAACTCTATAGTATGTGTACACATTGGTGAGATTGTGAGAAGGTGTACGGAAAACGAGTACAACCTATTTACGGTTCCAAAACGAAAAATAATGTCTTCACAAAATATGTTTGACCCAAGACCTAGCGAACTTATTCCATTTTGGTGGTGGCATTGACCATTCTGAAAGCGTCTGGCTCTTGGCCTTAACATCATTTGAAGTTTGGAGTTTGGACCCCTTTTGAGTCACACATTAATTTTGTTTTTATTTTTTCAAATTATTTTCATGGTGGTTTCAATAAGATTCTATAATTCACAACCCCCCAAAAAAATATTTAAAAGGTAGTTTCAATATAATACCACTATGACTCAAATAAAAATCGTGTTTTCCTAGTTATTGAATAATGTACAACAACTTCTTTACAATTATCCATTAGTCACCGTTGTTACTCTGGAAAGATTAAGTGACTTTCGCTCTTCTGTTCATCACATCTTTTGTACTTCACAAAATAATTAAGCTAGATGTTTTTTAAGTAGGTACATGTAAATTGAATTGTTCATTTATTATATAAAACAAATATTGAAATGTTTCAGCTGTTATATTTATTGTATACCGAACCATCATCAAATCCGTTTGTCTATTAAATGTTTGCTACAAATATTATAATTAAAACTCATTTTTATTAGTTAATAGAAATATTATTACCTAATAATTATTGAGTGATGCTTGTTTTACAATTCAGATCGATTGAAGGGCAATTAGGTATAATTTAGTTTTTCTCTTCCAAAATGTTAGTTCTTGAAACTACTTAGAAAAGTATTCTGGTATCACTGCTGCTATTGTTTGCTGCTGGAGCGGGCGTTGAAATCTCCATATCAGTAGCGATTCTAGTTTTTTTATTTATCTCGCCATTTCATAACATGGTATTTGATATTTTAATGTTGCCAAATATTTTACCGTCAATTGTTGTACGTATTAACTACTATATTTTATAGTGTATTATCGTTGCGTGACTTGCAGTACGTATACATACATATTTACATACATTCCGGAAGATGTATATTTTATATTATAGGTAGCATTTACCCCCTTTAAATTATAAGGTTTTTACGACAATTTTAATATTCATCAACAGTGATTACCTATTTGTCCTTAGTTTTATTTATTTTCTGAAATAACACAAAAATGTAAATCATTTTTCCACGCTATTATAATTCGAGCGACTGGAAATGTATTTAGAACGGATATCCGGCCTTATCCGAGGCTGGTCTATGTGAATTTTCACATATCCCCTGTATACGTGTTAGCTTTATTTATGCGTTTATTTTAGGTTGAAAATTATATTATTGTTATTATTTTTACGATAATATACATGTAAAAACGATATGCGCGCGTATATTTTGTTTTATTGTGTATATATTACACTATAATAATGACCAACTTTGAGTTTTTTTTTTTTTTTTGTGTTTAATATTTAACATTGCACGTGAAATAAATTTATTAAGTGTGTAATCAATTAAGTTAACACATGCGTTTTTATTGTGGTTGCGCGCGTACAATGCAACCATTTTTTTGAAATACTTAAACTCTAAACCGAACTCGTTGCAATCGTCTTGTAACTTATCGATAAACGAACACAATATATACTTTTCTTGTTAGTTTTTATAAGGATTTTTATTATGCTTGGCATTTACGACCATATAATTTACAACACTCGTTATTATACATAACACACACACACACACAACGGTCACCGATATTATGACAGATTCCATTGTGTCCCTATAACTTATAGCAGCGCTCAATACCGGTGTGGTTTTACTGTCGAAACCGTTTTTCAGTCTGAGCGTTTTTTACCGTGTACGCACACTAATAATGTGGTCATGTTTTCACAATCTTCGATCAATATTGTGACCATTGACCGTTGCACAATCTTAGTCAATCAGCTTAAGTTCACTCTGTATTAGGACCTACAGTTGACGATACTCTCAAAACATATACTCTGTTCTGAAGGTAATTCTAAATGCAAGAAACTTGGTATATTATGCCTATAAAAATATTAAAAACATAATGTAGCAAAATACATCATAAAAATATACTTTTTAAATTTGATACCTAAAATGTTTGGTTTATGAGCAAAACACTATTTTAATACAATATGTTCATGATATTTTTTGAAGTATAAGTTTAATATAGCTTTTTTATTGCTTTGTTGTTAAACATTTTTTAGGTGTTCTGTCTAAGTTTCATAACATTTGTTGAACAAATTATAATTTTACCATAGCCAATCAACTCGTGTACTACGTTTGGAACATCTTTTAGAAACTTTAAATTCTGTACCTTATAAAAACATGTTACATATTCAATATTGATTAATGAACAGTGATACAACTTACAAGTAGTATGAAATAAATCTGTATATTGTTTACTGCTGTATACTTAAAGCATAGTTAAAAGTTTCAAAAATCGAATGTTTCAAATTACAATTTGCACACATTTATCATTATATTTTGAAGTGACATAAATTATTATTTCCTAGTCACTACAATGTTCTGGTGTATACGGGAGTATTAAAACTACATTTTATTCGTGTTCAGCTTGGCGTATACCGACATTTTGTCGGTCACCTCGTTGCGGAAGTAGAATATAATGGGTTTGAAGACTTTAGAATATTAGATGTTTACAAACAAACTACCTCGGGTTCTTTATTATTCTTTTTTCGAGACAGGAAAATACCGTGTTTTACGTCCATCAAATTTTAAATTAATTGGATCGGTCCTATAGTGTTTTACACGTTGGCCTACATTACCGGCGTTTTGTTTGTCAGGACATTTATTATTATTTTATTTTATATTTTTTACCTCGCCGGACACAATGTCGTCGTTTTTAAAAAACACCGGCTTTTGCATTGTGCCAAAGAAAATCGATTCTTGTCAAAACATCCTTATAGTTGTCTGCCGACCTAACGTCCAAAGACACGGTATACCTACACTTGCTGCCGGTACAGCGGCTTGTCCTCTAACTGTCTCCTGTTATTTTTTTTTCAATTTCCGGATCACCTCCCGTATAATTGAAATTATTGTCAACAAATAATATTAGAGACGGCGCATGTACAACGCAGTAATAAATTTGATATAATTGCTACAATTCTTGGTTTTTATTTATTTTCCAGCCCGACACCGTACCTCAAGCCAGACTTGACATGTTTACTGCGATCGCCGTGGAAGAAGCGGACGAAGCGACCGGCAACCCTCACAGTCTGGCCATCACATCGTCGGATCACTCTGTACACTTTGTTCGGGGAGCATGCAGGGAGGAAGCTAGAGGGTGGAGAGACGTACTTACCTCATACATGCGTCATACTACACAGGTAATACACAAACTATCTTAACAAATCAAATAATATGATTGACAAAAATAATATATTAAACAAAGGCTCTTTTTAGTATACAACTGTTGAAAAGCGTTTTTTTATTTTTCCACTTGCTCAAACGCATTGTTAAACTAACATAACTATATTTAATACTTTACACACAAATGTTATTTCAACAAATACATACATGGCTTTGTGTACGACTTGACAGATAAAGTTTATTCCACCGCAGCTTTCTTGAAACACTGTACACATCATTGTGATGATAATATTGCATCAGCAAAGCACCATGTCATTAGTTAAGTTGTTCTTTTCGGCATTTTGTACACATTATACCGGTCACGTGTGATTCTTTTACTCGACTCGGGGCGTTCAAAGTCGTGGCCTCGGTTTTTTCTTAAATAACAACAAAAAAACTTAACAAAAATAACTTTCGTTGACCTACGTACGCGTGGTTTTCTTTACGTGTTTTTCTTTTGTATTCTTTAACGTAACTTATTGTCCAAAAATGTGGCCATCGCCTGTTATTTAGGAACGCCGATCGTGACGGTTTTTTTCCGAGGTTCTTCTTGTACATTAAAAAAATATATAATTATTACTTTTGTTTTGTGTTAGAAACAAAAAAAAAAAAAAGGTAAAAAAGAAGCGGGGGACTAATCTCGGGCCAAACCGGTTTCCCGCCGAGGCTTCCAATCTAATCAGAACCGATAGCTCGATCTATATTATTATTACTGTTATTGCGATCCTCGGACGATCGTGATGTCTACCGGAATCTCACAGTGTTCACATGTCAGCTCCGCGTATCGTGTGTCAGCGAATTTCTACGATTCATCTGCCTTTCTATAATATAAGAACTCTTTGCCCGTCATTCGATTCGGTCTGTTTTATATGTCTTACACACACACACACACACACGTGGACGACGCGCTGTGATCTAGTTCACCGTTGAAAATAATAGTATATAATAATAATGCATTCAGATTGCTTCTATTGTAATGCGTTATGGAAACGATGTTTGTGTAAAATAAAATATATTGTACATTGTGGTCAGGAAAATATCCAAGAAAAAAAAAATTAAGCAGCTGCGTGGCTCTAGCCGATTCCACCAAGTACTCGAATCTTTTATTGGACGGCAAGTGCTACTCACCTACCTCGGTAGTGTCCCATCTATATTATATCGATGACTTAATGTACACTTGTTATAAGTCACAAAATTGTTCAGGATAGCAAATTAATTTTTTTTAATTTTAAAATGATTGTACTACAAAGTTTTCATTATAAATATCACAACAATTTGAAATTTTAAGAACTTTTGTAAAAAATAAAGCGAGTTCAATTTTGTATCTTTTGGTATCAACAAATTTATTTTGGAAAAAAGTGGACGTATAACAAGTATGTACTAAGCCATCGAAATGATACGTAAGCAAAATTAATTAGGACCAATGAAAAATGTCGAGTGTCCAACCACTGCTTTTATTTACTCAAGTTTGGTATAAAAAAAAAATGCGATCCTTGAAAAACCTGAATAATCGAGAACATCCCCTCTTTATGAAAGGAAGGGTTTTTGTGCGAATTTAGTGTCGATTTTAAATAGATTAGGCGTTCAAGTGTATATTCTAGTGTAACCATAGTCAATAAACATGTTTCTGGTACGTTTTGACTTTTATCCGAACTGCGTGCACGTGGTAAAAACCACGAAATCGTCCCGTTAATATAATATTGTCGTTCATTGTCTTGGAACAATTGGCGTGTGGTTTCTTATTTTATTGTTTTTTCGTTTATAATAATATTATTGTACAATATATACTAATTATGCGCGTTTAAATGAGCCGTGGCCGTCGATAATTATTAACTCAATCATCGGTTGTCTCCTGCGCTCTTTCAAAAAAAAAAAAAAAACGCCAAACAATAAACACGGCTTGCGGAATGCAGTGCCACGTTTTTCTTGACAGATATACGAGTGCAAGTACAAGACGTATACAAGCAGTAAAAAATAAAAAATAACACACGTGGTGAAAAATACCTCGGCGGCGTTTTCCGAAATATGTGTTTGTATAAGCTCGTTACGCGGACAAGGGGAAGTACACACGCACTGAAAAAAGGGGAAATGGCCTCGAGCTGTACGTTGGGCTGCGAACTCGATCACGATTGGCCAATTACGTTGTAGGAATTCGCCTTGGGCGTCCCGTAATAAGTATTTTTAAGAGACTGGCAAGTGGTCACACACATACACACACACACACACGGTGGCCATCCCGAAGCTAAGTCGCGGCACAAGTACCCGAGAGCTGATACACAAGTAAGAAGAAAAAAATGACTAATGCTCCTTGCACTAACTGCGAAGCCCAAGGTCGTAGTGCGCGCGGCCGACTCAATCACGTGTTAATTGTCCCGACCAAAGTACGTCCGCCTGTATAGCTTGGTGACGTGCGCCTGTGATTTATGATCAGAACTCTGAGAGAAAAAAGAGAAAAAGCTATCGAGAAGGAATATATGGCGGAATTATTAATGTCCCGCCGCGGCCGTTGCGTTTGTGATTTGAATTTACACAATGTTCGTGCAAGCTATATTATAGCTTTTTATATAGTGTGAAAACTATAAATTCATCTTCTCTTCCGAGAAGCCAAAGCAAGCAAGCACTTTTTCCATCTGCCCGTTCGGGATTATGTCACTTATGCGACACGGCGTGGCGGCGTCCGGAAGGAAGATGCGCATACTAATATAAGTAATATTAATATTACTATGCATCTACACTACGTGGGATGCGCTTGTAAAATAATTCATGTTCTCCCTGTCAATGGCGGCTGATAATTGCTCACTCGCCGCCGTTAATCGACAAAGGACGATGCACCAGCGGGCAGTTGTAATAATATATTGGGCCCATGTCTTAAGAATAATATTTTATTTTGACACATACGCTATTCATACGAGTGACGGCCAATTCTTCCCCTCTAAAAACGGACAGTGAACATTTTTATCATGTGTTGTATCAGAAATTGCTCCCAAAATAGTTTTCTCCTTAAGAGGACGTCACTCCGGCCATTTATAAGGTGTAAAGTATAAGCAATTTTTGCAAAATCTTAATTTTGGAGCTTGGACTATAGTATATACTTACTGTGTATAACACAGTAATATGAGGATTTTTTATTGATTATTATTTTGTTGTTGTCAGACAATCACAGTCGTTTCTATAGGATAAATTACAGGTGTTTTTCCATCAAAACTACTTTTCGAGGGCCTAAGTTTTCCGGTCAACATACCGTTTTGGCTACGTTAAATATTTTTAAAAGTAAAAATTGCCTTCAATTCAAAACTTTACTTTGATGGAATGCTAACCTTATAAAAATTTGAACGCTTTATTAGCGTGTATCCATTCGGGTGTTCCATCTTTGATTTTGCTTGATGTCTTGCCGATTAATAGGCAATAGCATTTCCGGATGGAGTTTAAATTTGCCCATTCGTATGTTGTAGATCTGCTAGTTTGTATCACGATTTTTATGCGCCCATCAAATTACCCACGGAGCGCTCGTGGACTCTTTTTAAGCATTAGCTCTCGACCGCATACGACTGAGATCATCCGTTCATGGATGTCGGCTAATGGCGGGCACGTTAATGTAGAATCGCAGTGGCTTCTATAGCAGACGTTTTACGATCCATACATTACAAACCGTCATTCTGTATCGGTTTCGGATAGCCACGGCCGTCGTTTTCCATTGGCACGTTGTGCTGAGTAATTTTTTTTTTTGTTAGGTAAAGTGTGTATACCTAATATTAGAGTAAGTCCTAAATCCGAATAAGCGGCGTTTCGCTGTCGTCGCCGCGTGTCCGTCGTACCAGCAGATCTCTTTTTGTTTTTCCAAACGGTAACAGCCTGTAATCACTGTATAACCGTGTTGGTTACCTAACTTGACGGGATCGCAGAAGTAGTAGGCGCTTGTCTCGTTATAACTTTGTCCGCCATGGGCGATGACGGGTCACGGTTGAATTATCGTTTCCCGTCCAACAAACCGAAACGGCCATATCACAATTTTCATACCCGTTCGCAGTTAACAAATCGCATTTCATACAACTGTCACACGATTCGCCATAATAATAATACATTATATATATATATATATATATATATATATATATAAATATATATACTTACCTATAATAAAGAAACGCGTAACGCACTTTACCTTTGTAATTAAGTATTTAAATATACAAACTGTATGTTAACTGTACGATTTACGTTTTTCTACCTACCTCAACCGCTTAGTGTACGCAAAGTAGCAAATTCAATTTTACATGTGAGGTTTAGAAAAAAAAGTTACACAAGACCAAGGAGCCGGGGAACAAATACCCCTGTTTGTTGTATGTCACAAGGGCCTTGTCTGCTCGTTCCACCCTTGCCCTTAAATGTAAATGTTTATTTTCTACAAGCTATAATAATATATACATAATGTCGATGGCAGAGTGTACATCGAGTGCGTTTTTAATAATATTACAAGAACATGTTTGAAAGTGTACAATGCTATGTTATTACATGTGCTAAATGAACTCTAACAACAACAATTTCGCTATTTTAAATGCAATTAACTACTAATTTCTGTACGAAACTTGTTTTCTCAAAAAAAAAACGTACCTGTCATATTTTTGCACTGTGTCTTCTATAGTATACAAATATATATATATATATATATTATTATTTAATATCTATGATTATTGCACAATGGCATCGGTTTATCACTCCTCCAGCTTCCTTTGGTTTCATCTGTTTGACCTTCTCCTTAAGAGTATTACCTCCTTTTGCAGACTCAGAATTGATCATAATTTACTCCCGGGCCATGCCTTCAAAATGGAGCTTAATTCGGTACCTTACTGTCATCTGCCTGAAGAGGAAGCCATCGGTGAATTCCGAAAGAATCTCTCTTTTTAATTTCCTAGCCTTGCATGGCATCTCTAATCTTATCCCTATACTCGTCCTTACTTCCCGCGTTGTTCCTGTAATTAATGACACAAAATCATTCATCTTGAGCTCTGGTTATACTGTATAGCTTTTTTTTTCTTTCTTTCTCTTTTCTATCTATTTGTTTTTTGTCTACACTTAACTTTACATTTTGTCTTTTCTTATATTACACTGTTTTAGATATCTTTATGTACATAGTGTTTACCTATTGTAATGGGCTTGTAATTGTTGTTTAAATAATATTATGTACTTGATGAGCCATCATATTATCCAATAAAGGCTATTATAAAAAAAATACATACGTATATATTATATGATTCTACAAATGCTGCTGTGTATTCTATTATTTTACTATAATATTTTCATTGTGTTTTTACGTGTTGATTTTTTAACTCGAATTTGGTTTTTGTTTTACAGATAACCCCGTCGACCAACGGCGGCGGCGTACCAAAGCACAAACGGAACTCGACGTTCCCGGGTCCGAACCCCACATCCGGCGCTCTCAATGGACCAGTTAGAGGTAAGTCGAATGTGGCAATGAATCGTAGTACGCTATTAGTATTGTGTTCGTGTGTTCATTATGCAAACCGAATATGTAGTAGGAAAAAATATATAATATAATACACCTAAAAATTCCACTTCCGGCGGACGGCGTTCCGGCATTCATCTGCCAACAGTACAGTAGTAGTTAAATCGGTGTACCTATTCTAATGTGTGTATGTGAGCGCATTTGTGTGTGTTATCCTCAGATCTCCTAGGTACATATATATTATGCGTATGGTGTAGGCAATTGTGTAACGGGTTCGCCAATTTGTGGACACGGTGCCGGTTAAACTGGTTGTCCAGGCTGTATTATTGAAGTGTGTGTAATCAGTAGTGTGACTATCCCGCTAACGTAATTAAACCAATTCGTAAATCGTTTCCAAGATCAGCTGCCGATTCCAAATCGGTCCAAACAAGGCGTTGGGCGATGCCCCGCCGCATTCTCGGTCTAATAATTTTTTACCCGGCTGTTATCGCCCTGAAAATACCTGTTAACGCGATCGTAATAGGCGTTGACTTGATTTTTTATTTTTTTACTAATGCGGTCTCGTCTCGTTGTTCAAATAAGCCAGCCCAGTCGTTACATATTGTAATTACATTCAAATCTGTATGATGTTTTATTCTTGTGCCTATTTAACTGTGCCGCATCGCTAATTTTCATTTAATTCGCATGTCCCATATTGAAACAACAGGTGCTTAAAATTTGTAGTTTCTTTTTCTTCTGTGGTTCCGACCTTTAAGAAGATCATACCGTCCAAAATATTTGTCTCCAGTTTTCTCTGTCCAATGCCAACTCTCTTCCATCCATTCCCGGCTTTACTTTTCCACGCCTTTTATTTACTCTGTCTTCCCATCTTAACCTCTGAGGCCCGAGTGCTCTTTTCCCTTGTGAGACACTTTCTAGAACCTTTTCCAGCGACAAACATTCTTTACTTCATGCGTGTCTTGACCATTTGAGTCGTTTCTTTGTAATGTCCTCCACGATGTTGGGACTTTAATACAATTCTTTTAATTCAGATAAGGCTGTGATGGTGTGATAGAACGACTGAGGTAATTCACTTCCACAGGGAACAAGTAAGTATACATTTCTAGCACAGAGTCACACTCTAAATACGAACCATCTATTATTTTTATAATATCGATGGCTCGAATTCCGTTTTTCTACGTACACTAGGTACACGGGTCGTCTTCAATGTTATAATATTATTATGTATACCGCAAAATGAGGCATTATACGGCTTCGCTAAGACGCCATTCCGAAACCACACGAGGTTGTCTGTATATATATATATATATATATATATATATTATTATACAATTATAGGTCGGTTATGTTTTAGGGTCGTGCACTGCAGTTGGTCTGCTGCAAAGAACGGTATATATTATAATATGCGTGTGTATAATTTTTCAGTAATATGATTCTATATTCCTTATAATTAACCATCACGGCTACGGTAATATTTTTATTGGTCGTACCTAATATGTACAACTCAAACGGCGCCATAACAATCGATACCGACTGATCGTCGGGACATAATAACAATAATTATTATTCTAATAATATGATATGTAATTTTGTCGAATTGTCTATTTTCGAAATACTGGCCAAAAGACATAATATGCTAAACCGGTGCTGTGAATAAAATATTTTGGTTTAATTTGAGGGGGCGGGTCCATGCACCGTTTCTCGTAGAACAATCACAGAATATATGCAATGATGAACAATTACTAATATAGTAGATCTAATATGAAGGGCTGCGGGGAAAAAAGATCAATGTCAATTTTGTTTGAAAATGAGATTTTGGTATCAAATTATTTGTATTGATGTATTGTACATTTTATGCGCTCGAACCCGGGGAAAAAAAGATTAGTCGAGAATAACGACTGCCGGAAGTTTAGGCATGCAGGAAAAATGTATTACGTTTTGAAATTAAAAACATGATTTCCTCAGAATGAACAAAAATTGACATTGATCTTTTTTCCCCGCAGCCCTTCATATGCTTTTATGGCATTATCGATGTGTTCCTTTTCTCTAGCCTACTTCTAAAATAAAATTCGTGCTTTTTTTGTTTATTTAACCGGATATAGGTATTCGCCTTCGATAATATTTATAAATTATCATTATTCCTGCGCGCCCGGGCAAGATGTAGAATTTGGAGTTGTGCGCCAATTTGTGCGTTGAATAACAAGTACTGCACATTATTAAACATATATATACACGGGTATGTATAATATAGTACACATAGCTCAGACCTTTTACTATGTACTGTGTGACCCACAGATGTAAGTCCGTGGCCCGGTTTCAGCAGCGGCATCAATCTCGTTATCGTGTCGTCAACTTGCAGTCCTCGTATTATTGTTATTATTACTGTTGTTGTTGTTGTATACTGTTATTGTTATTGTTATGCTATATGGTGTGCGTTCGTTATGCTGGCATGCGGGGCATACGGGTACCTACGTCTTGACAATAGGAGACGACGACGCCGTCCACGTGCCTCCTTAGCGACCGGTAGACTTGCACCGATCATGCTGCCTGAGTATCGCTTTACCTAGAATTTCGGACATGTCGCCAACACTCAAGTAATATTATATTATTGTCATTCGGCATACATACAACTGATCCTTTCAGTATTCAAAACGCGGCGTCGCTTTTCCCCGTAGACCGTCCAAAAAAAAAAAATCGGCTTCGGTCATCGTTCTCTTTTGCGCCTTCGTCGGTTTCACGATCCGATTAAATAATTATTATTCGAGAGGAAAAAACAGACGCGTTAAACAACAAATATTAGATTTATAATTATTTGTAAAATACATACGTACGATATTTACCCGAATGTGCTAAAAAATTAATTGCCATAACCTCGCGAGTGGACAAACGCATAAAAAAAAAATAATAATCATCCAATTCTTTTTATTTTGCAATGGAATTTGACGTTTGAATAGCCAAAAAATTCACACGTGTAACCCGTTTTTGTTTCGGGTTGAAGTCAACTGTAAATAATATACTCTAAATTATTATACATATCATTATAGGCTCCGCTCCATCATACTATAATTCACGAGTACTGCATATCACATGACCGTCACAGGATAATACTTGGTTAATAAATAACGTCCAGGTATTTTTTTAGGAGGGTAATTGTGTTTTGATTGAATGGAAAAAAATTCCAATTTATTTTCGTGTAACATTTGAATGGTATCCAATAAAAATATTTATATTAATGTTTGAAACGAACACTGTAGTAAGTCGATTTGAATTTTGTCACCTATAAATGTGTTGTACAAATTACTATCCATAGAACGGCAGTGTGATAATATAATAGTACGGTTGTTGTGTGCTTAGAATATATGCTTATGATTTTTAAATTATGATACATTTGGGAAACCATGAACTTAAAGCGTGAACTGCGGGTGTTTGACATTAAGAATGTGGTTATTTTGTACGTGTTACGTATAATCGAAATTGTATAAATAAATCTAAAAAAAACTATTAAACAAAACGTCAACAAGACATAAAAAAACAGTTTTTTCAAGTGTAATATTTTTAAAATAAACCTGTCCGCGAGTACCTATAATACTAGTTTTGTACGATAATATTATTCCAGCGAGGCGCCATTATTTACGGCTAAGTATATTTTGTAATTAAAATTATTTGATTTGATTTTCGTCGTGTGTTTTTTATTATGCCAGTGAGGACAGAACACCCATCTTAATTAAGTAATTATAGGTGTATAAACATTTTAACTGTCCTATCAAGTCTGATAGTAGTCGTTAAGTTTTAAGTCGTAGAAACATTTAGAAAACGAGGTTATCTATAACTCGAATAGCATACATTTTATTAATTCATTAAAGTCGCATTTTTATTCCGTTTTTAATCACTTATATAACGTAAAACTTTGTAAATAGACGTTATGACAGTCTTATAAAACTGTAATAACTCTAATTATTCACAAATAAAACCGGCTCTTTATTCTATAAAATAAAAGTGCATTTAGTGTATTTTAGTTATAAATCAAGATTTTTTAGACGATAAGTCCATGTTTTACACAACGTTAAAATTATTAAAAAATGAGCTATAATTAATTTTCACTCCAACAATATTTACTTTTTGGACAAACATGCTGTTTGTTGTTGTAGAACGTGATATATTTTATTCTATTTATTATAATCTCAAATGTATTATGCTGTATTCAGATTTTCGTCGTACAATAATGTATAATGTAATAATCTATAATGACTCGACTGAAGGGGAAAAAAATAAAACGGAAAAAAAGCACAGACAGGTATTGCGTAGGATCTACTACCGTACGGTTGTAACAAGAATCGACACCTGTCTACTACTTAGGCATACATAGTAAGTTACCGTAGCATGAACGTATTAATTTGTAATCACTTACACGGTTGTTTCCGCTTTGTAGCCAACGCACACGCCATTTAATGAATGAAAGTCGGCTGATTTAAATGGAAAACCGATAAACACAACGTACTCACACGGGCAGTACTAATTTTTTAAACGCCTTCGGCAAGTGCTCGCTTAGGAAAATAAATATATTATGATAATTATTTACACTTTCCGGTGACCAGTAAACGACTTTTCCAGCGAAGTTCTTTAAAAACCTACCGGAATCGCTGGTTTTCATATTATTTCATTTGTGTATACTATTATTAATGTACACGAGCGACGTGCTTTGGCCTAAACGGTTGTCCGTCAAAGGAAATCGACTAGACAATGCTGGATCGTGATTAGGATAAATCAAACGACGGGAAAACCGGACCGCTATATCCGACTTCCGGCGCGGCATAGGACATCCGAGTCACGTTCAGACAACATAAACGACGATGCATTTTCATAATTATTAGTTTCCAAAACCAAATTAGGCACATATTATAAGCCCTGTTGACCGTGCATTGCACCGCCAACATGAGTAAATTGAAATTTAAAATTTGCTGAGACTTGGATCCGGTTAATCGATCGACAAA